CATGTCATCAATTTTTTAACAAAACAATGTTGAAGGAAACAACGTTGTTCAAGGATCTGGTGCACAGTTGTTATAATGATTAGGTGGATTAATAGTTAACAAAGTGCTTATGATAGTTCCTGGCACATAATAAGTACTATATAAATGTTTGTTATGTTAAAAAAAAATTAGAAATCTTACAACAATCTTTGTTTGTTTGTTTGTTTGTTTTTTGTTAATCCTTACCCTAGGATATTTTTTCCATTGGTTTTTAGAGAGAGTGGACGGGAGAGAGGGAGCGCGGAAGGGAATGGGGGAGGGGGAGAGAGAGAGAGAGAATGAAACAGAAACAGAAACAGAAACATTGATGTGAGAGAGACACATCGATCGGTTGCCTACCACATGCACCCTGACCAGGGCCAAGGATCGAATCTGCAACCCAGGTATGTGCCCTCGACCGAACCTGCAACCCTTCGGTTCATGGGCCAACTCTCTAACTACTGAGCAACACTAGCCAGGGCACAGCAATCTTTTAACAGCACAGTTATTTTCATTTCATTGGGGTGGAGAGGTTAAGTGCCTTGCCTGAGACCACAGGGCTATTAAGTGGCAGAATCAAATCTAGAACACAGATTTGACAGACTCCAAAGTCCTTGCTTGCAGCCATGGTTCTAAACTGAACATGCAGGTGGGCAGTTTGCTTCCTAGGATGGCTGTCAAGGAGGGAGATGCAAGTGGGCACTGTGAGTCCAGTGGGGTAAATAGAGTCTAAGAGGCTAGCAGAGGCACTGTTTGATGACCTGGCTGGGACCAGGGGCTGGGGGCCCTTGGCCTGGTTCTCTGCTCCCTGTGTGGGAGAGCAGCCTGGGTTCCCAGGCCCGTTTCAAGAAGAGGTCAAGTCCCTTAAGTACCTGAAAATTCAGATTACAGCCAGAGCACTCAGTCCTGGGTCTTTTTCCTCCTTATCCGTTTTCTGGGTGACCAGCGTCAAGTCAGTTAACCCTTTTGCATCTCAGTTTCCTCATCTGTCAAATGTGGATAATGATACTTTACCCCCCTACCTCATGGGGCTTTTGAGAGAATTGTTTCAATGGTAGATGTAAAAACATTTGAAAAAGCATGAAGCAGTACTGAAATTAAAGAAAGTAGGGTGATCCAAGACCACATTACTATGAGGGTCCAGTGCACGCCACTCAAGCCTAACTACCTCTTGCTTGTGATGCCCATTGTCAAACCCCATGATTTTTTCCCAGCTGTTCCGGCATGGTCTAGAAAGATGCTTGGAACCTCATCTCTTTTTGTGGAGTTTTACATTTCCCTCTGTGAACATAGAATAATAGTTGAGCATCATCTGGATCCATGGGAAAATTTCCTTCTGCGTGGGTTTTTGTTTTCAAGAACCAGAGCCAGTGTCTATCCAGCATCTACAGTCGTCCAAGCTCCCATTCTGGGAGCTCTGCCATCTTTTAGTTTCAGCTCTTGACACAAGGCAGGCGTGGGCTCCTGGGTCTGGAGAGCCCATAAATGCCTCCTCTCATTAGCACATAGCCTTGCTTCTGTGCATGTCCTGTAGGGAACAAGGAGGCAGCTGACCCTTTCCCTGGGTGTTCTTGTCTCTCTGGGCTTCCCCTTGGGTGTGTGTATGTGTGTGTGTGATCGCGCGCTGAGAGCTGTGTAAGCCTGGAGGCTTGGCCTCTTGCCAGCTGCTAAAACTGAGTTAGTCACCCAGCCATTTCCATTCTCCACTCGCTGCCAGGGTCTATAGCATGGTGCCTATGCCAACTTGAAACTGTGCTCTGCCTCGGTAATCCAGAGCTTCCATTTTGGGAGAGAGATGGGAAACAAGAGTGAATGAATGGGTTTGTTGGATGGAGGGAATTTGGAGACAATTTTTTGGCAACATATGACAAAAAATATTGGCCCAGTTGCTTGGTCTTCACCCAAAAGTAGGACTAACTCTGGACTGACCCCAAATATCCAGTAGGGAAACTCTTTATTCTTGGATCTAGACCACATTGGATCTAGCAATCATTTTTTTTTTTTTAATCTGGAAATTAGGAATAATAAATCCTATTCCATATGTTCTTCATGTCAACTGATAAGTAAGCTTTTAAATAGCTCACTAACTATTCACCAGGAACAGGAAGTGACATAAGGTTATCTTTCTTCCAGTATATTCTGCAGAATACTGAGTGTTATTTCTTAAAAGGCACAGGCTAACTTTGGGAAACACTGTATAAATAATACTAAGCAGATTTTGTAATTGTAGAGACCACCCAGGTCCTTCATATACATACCACTAATATACATGGTGAATCTGCAAGAGAATATATTGTATGCAATATTTCTTACACTTTTAACCAACTTTCTTTATCTTTTTAAAATCATTTTTAAATTTTTTAATTACAGTTGACATACAATATTATATTAGTTTCAGTTGTATACCCAGTGACTAGGCATTATATAACTTACTAAGTGATCATCCCAATAAATCTCATGCCCATCTGACACCATACATAGTTATTAGAATATTATTGACTATATTTGCTATACTGTACATTACACCCCCATAACTATTCTGTAACAGCCAATTTTTACTTTTTAATCCCTTCAACTTTTTCACCAATCCCCAAACACCCCTCCCATCTGCCAACTGTCAAAATGTTCTCTATATCTATGAACCTGTTTCTGTTCTGCTTGTTCGTTTATTGTTTTTTAGATTCAGTTGTTCATAGATATGTATTTACTGTCATTTTATTGCTCTTATTTTTTATCTTGCTTTTCTTCTTATTCTTAAAAAACACCCTTTAACATTTCTTGTAATACTGGTTTGATGGTGATGAACTCCTTTAGCTTTTTCTTGTCCGGGAAGCTCTTTATCTGTCCTTCCATTCTAAATGATGGCTTTGCTGTGTAGAGTAATCTTGATTGTAGGGCCTTCCTTTACATTACTTTGAATATTTCTTGCCAATCTCTTCTAGCCTGCAAAGTTTCTGTTGAGAAATCAGTTGACAGTCTTATGGGAGCTCTTTTGTACTGCTTTTCTCTTGCTGCTTTTAAGATTCTCTCTTTGTCTTTAATATTTTGCATTTTAATTGTGATGTGTCTTGGTGTGGGCCTCTTTGGGTTCATCTTGTTTGGGACTCTCTGTGCTTCCTGGACTTGTATGTATATTTCCTTCACCAAGTTAGAGAAGTTTTCTGTCATTATTTTTTTCAAATAGGTTTTCAGTTCCTTGCTCTCTCTTCTCCTTTTGGCACCCCCATGATGCAAATGTTGGTATGCTTGAAGTTGTCCCAAAGGCTCATTACACTATCCTCTTTTAAATTTTTTTTTTTTCTTTTTGCTATTCTGATTGGGTATTTTTTGCTTTTTTATCTTCCAAATTGTTTATTTTATCCTCTGCTTTATCTACTGTACTTTTGATTCCATGCCATGTATTCTTCATTATAGTTATTGTATTCTTCATTTCTGACTGGTTATTTTTTATGGTTTCTATGTCCTTTTTCATGCTGTTGAAGTTCTCAGTAAGTTTCTTGAAGCTCTCACTAAGTTCCTTGAGCATTCTTATAACCATTGTTTAGAACTCTGTATCTGGTAATTAGCTTGCCTCTGTTTCATTTAGTTCTTTTTCTGGAGATCTTTCTTGGTTTTTCAATTGGGGCCTGTTTCTTTTCCTTTGTATTTTGACTTCTTCCCTGTGTTTGTTTCCATGTATTAGGTAGATATGCTACATCTCCCAGACTTGGTAGAGTGGCCTGGTGTTATAGGTGTACTGTGGGGCCCAGTGGCGTAGCCTCCACAGTCACCCGAGCTGGGCACTCCAGGTGCATTCCTGTGTGGGCTATGTGCACTGTTCTGTTATATTTGAGACTTGATTGCTGTTGGCACATCACTGGGAGGGATTGATTCCCATGCTGACCAGCTGCAACTGTAGAAGAGGAGCTGCTGTGCAGGAGTCAACCCTACAGAACAGGACTTGCTTCAGTGGGGCTTTGATGCTTACTGAGTCCACTTCTTGAGTGTGTCACTCATGGAAGTGATAGGTTTTAATCCAGTGTGGTTTGAAGCTGTCTACTGGGTGCACTGGCTCTGGGGACTCCTGGGAGGTGCAAGGTCAGCCACTGCCTGTGCCCTGCCTGAGGCCATCCACCACGAGCTACAGAGCAATCTGCAGATGGCTGCTATGTGTGCTGGGCTTGGAAGTGCCCAGGAGAGACCAAGCTGCAAACCAATGTTGGGCTGCCGCTAGTGCCAGGCCTGGGTTCACTTAGCAAGAGGTATAGAGTGTGCAGAGGCCAGATGCAGCTTGTTAGAGAGATTTTAGGAAAGTCTGAAATATGAGCCAAGACAAGCCATTCATTTGGAAAAGCCACTGGAAACAGCTCAGGTCGGCCCAAAATTCCAGTGGGGCAGAGCCTCAGGGAATCACCAGGATGGGGCAAACAGTGTGAGCCAGGTAGATGGAGACTCAGATATGGCACTTGCCTGCTGGCTCTGTGAGGATATATCTCAGAAAAGGAACAATAGTCTCTGCCAGCACTTCTGTCTGGCAGAAAGCTGCCCCCATCTCTCACCCTGATGCCAGACAATTCAGTTCCTCCCCGTATGTCCCTGATTCATTTCAAGCTGCTGTCCCAGTGCTGGAGCTCAGAGGGAGTAAATCTGAGTAAGTCGGTGTGTGGGCCCTTTAAGAGGAACTGCTTGAGACTCCAGAGCCCTCTGTCTCCCTTAGCCACAATCCCCACTGGTTTTTACAGACAGAAGTTATGGGGTAACCAGCTTTCTTAGTGGGACATTTTTCAAGTGCCATCTCTGCAAAATACACTTTGGAAGATGCCGACCTAGGTCATAGGTATATTTATTTCAGTCTTTTTTGTCTGATTGTGAAGGGAGGTGAACTGGTGAAATACATGGGGTTGCTAAAGATGTGGGTTGTAAAGAGCAAGATCGTTCAAGTTCAGAATCTGTGGAAATGTGTGCTCTCTGCTCTGAAATACCTCTCCCTCCTGTCCTTACAGCTCCCCTTTGAATTGGAGGTTTACTACATTCAGCATGTTATGCTCTACGTGGTGCCCATCTACCTGCTTTGGAAAGGAGGTAAGTCCAGAGGACCATACCCCTGTACCACCCCAACACCTCGGCTCTCCCTTCTGTTTTGGGGAATCACAAACTTTTGGGTGCCTACTAGGATCTTGAACTGCTGCCTCACTGGGTTTATGCAGCATGCTTTATGCCAGGCAGTGGGAAATGGGCATGGATAAGGCCTGCAAAGACTCTGGGGGCTTTTCAGAACCACCCTTTGTGGGTGAGCTTGGTGCTGCTGACTGCCTATCTCAGGGCCTAGGCCTTGGGCTCTGTGGTTGTTTGGATTTGCATGGAACCTCTCACGCTCTGTCACTCGCTTGTGCTTGTGCCTTCTACTTGCCTTAGTGTGCAGTATAGGGTGGAAGGAGAGAAGGAAACACTCAGTTCTCTCAAGAGACAGACCTTGTGCTCTTGCTTATAGTACCCATCCTCTCAGAACAAAAGAAATACTGAAAGAGGCAAGAAATCGAAGGATTGGGGGATGATGGGATTGAGGGAAGAGTCAGGTGAAAGCAGTGACCTTCATGTAAAATAAACTATTGAAAACTTTCATTTGGTCATGAGGATGAGACCATCAACCTGGGAGAGGTGGCCTAGAATGGAAACTGATTTGTGACCATGCAATGCCCCTTAAATTATCCCCTCCCTCTATTGTGTAGGAGACAAAAAGGAAGGGTAGTTCCTATATCTTTTAGACTAAGTGTGAGAGCAGCTCCTTCTGTCTTTTTACCATCCTGTAAAGCCTATACCTGGAAGACGTCCTCTCCTAGTCTTAGCCACTAGCCTCTTTATGTAGGTTGCTGGGAGTTTTCTGAGATCAACCTTCCCTACTTGACCCGAGGCAGCAAGGGTTTCATTTATATTGCCTGAGCCCTGCCAAAGTGCCTCAGTGGTTGTGCGTCGATCTATGAACCAGGAGGTCACAGTTCCTGGTCAGGGCGCATGCCGGGGTTGCAGGCTCAATCCCCAGTGGGAGGTCTGCAATAAGCAGCCAATCAAGGACTCATCATTGATGTTTCTATCTTTCTCTCTCTCTCCCCTTCTCTCTCTGAAATCAATAAAAACATATTTAAAAAATGACAACAGTCCACATGGGCCCTTGAACCTTTTGGAATATCGTTTGGAAGTGTGCTTCCTCTAACTCAGGAATTCTGGCAAATCTTAGGAACTTCTGGCATGAGATAGCCTCAAGGACCAGTCAATTCAGGGACATGTTGGAGGATGGGCATTATTACTGTCTATGATGGCTACTACCTGTCCAGAGGTTTGCCCTCTCCCCCAGGTTTCTATCAATTAGGATTCTTAAGAGATATCTAAATATTTTTCAAGACTGTTTTTACCCTGTACAGCCACTTGGGGTCTCACGCTGTCAAATGATCTTAACTTTGAATATGCTTTAAACACATTATTTTCCCCTTTGAGCTTTAAGGGAAGTCTGAAGTTTCAATGGCCAGGAAATTTGTGCCATTTCTCTTGTCTGTCCCCTGTGGCACAGGCAATAGCTTCCTAATAATATTCAAGTCTTGGGGATAGATGCATTCTGAAGAGGACCAGGCAGGGCTCCAGGGCTCCAGACCCCCACCATTCATTGTTGCTGGTTTCTGAGGGGTGTGATGCAAGTTTTGATGGGTGCACATGGCTATTAGTTAAACCTATCTGTGCTCTGAGGTGCCTATAAAAATCCTTCAGGTAGCTGAGCTAGACTGGTCTGACATGGAAAATACGAAGCAGCCATTCTCCTCTCTCCCCACCGACCCAATAAACAAACCACAATCTGGGAAGCAAGCACATTCTAGAAGTGGCTGATTCTACTGTGGCCTTCTATTGGGTCTATTGCTGCACTGTTTAGGAAAACTGAGCTGAGGAAGTAGGAATTCCAAGTCTTAATTCCAATTTATTTCCTACTATTTGTGATTTTTTTCCCCATTTCCTCTGGTGCCTGACCCTGAGATGAGGCTATAATAATGATAAGAGTAATAATAATCACAATAAATATCGATGCCTACTTTTTTATTGAGTGTTTACTATCTGTAACATGCTGTACTAGGCATGTTTTATCTATTTTTTCATCACAACTAACCTGGTGAAAAAAAACCTCCTTCCACGGAAGAGAAAATCAAGACTCAGAAATGTTAGGTACCTTGCCCACAGTCCAGATTCAAAGTTAGCCTAGATCCCCTCCCAAACCAGTATTCTTTCCCATATGCAATGTTGTCTTCAAAGACAGATGTCTGTCTCCTTATTACATTAGGCTGTGAGCCTCCCCTCCTCATCAATGGCAGAAGATAGATAATTATAATACAACGTGGTAAGTGTGACATAGGGTACCATGGGAGCATGATATGATTTCTGAAGTCTGGTTCACTTTCCCTTCACCATTTCTGGGTTCTTGTGTGGGCTCAGCTTCTCTTATGGCTCTTTACTGCCACCTGCTGTTCATGTGGGGGAAATTATGAGCATTTAGAGAATAATCTAGATTTTCGCAGGCTGGTTTGATCTTCAGTCAGAGCCTTGGTCCTAGGCCTTGCAAAGGAGAAGTGGATCTGCAGTGAGCAATGGGAAGATTATTTCCTATAAACCAAAAAAGCTGAGGGTTTGGGACTTTTCTTCCCTAGAAGTCTCTTGTGATTTTCCAGAAATAACTGGCTCAGGGGTTTTACCCAAGGCAAGACAGCCCTCCTATAGATACCTCTTGTTCCCAGGAGCTCTGTTTTCTTAAAAGGCACAGTCCTGCTTTTTCCTGTGATTTTGAGGTGGTGAATGGTGCTTAATGAGAACCCCATTCCTCCCTTGTTCCTTCAGTCCTTCTATACCACCATCTTTGTCCACTATACTCTTTTCTTCCACCAGCTTGGTTCTTGATTTCTGTTTCTTTTCCTCTGAACTCTTTGCCTTTGACCCTCTGAAAATGTATTTTTGTATAACCCCCTAGCTCTACCACCAGCTCTTCACAGAACACAAAGTCCTATCTCCTTCCCAAAGCTACCTCTAATGGAAACAGCCCTTTCTGCTCAACCCCATGTTCTGCCTGGCTCCCCACTGTCTCTTCCAGACCATTATTTTATCTCTACCTTATGTGAAAATGCTTCTACTTTACCATTCTCTTGACCCTATTTCATCACTACCATCATGTAACCTCCTGGTCACTTGCCCCACATTCCTAGATGTCTCTGGCCCATGGGCTCTCAAATTTTCCATTACAATGCTAGCGAGCATGCTTGAGAGACTTCTAGTGAGGACTGTTCATTCCACCTGCAGCTTCTTAAGGTTTGGGTTTCTTAATTAGGTGACTTCTGCATCCCTTTCTTTTTAGCCATCTGGACATTGCCTTACTCCTTCCCCTTAAACTCCCCTGTCTGAGATTGTAAGCCTCTATGTTCCTTTCTTTGACTAAAATCTCTACTCCTCCTTTTCTCAATCAGCTTATACCACTATGACCAATTACTGGGACTTTCCTTTTACCAGCTCCTGAAAATGTTTCACTCCCTTCCCCCTTCCACTGGGACCAGTGTCCAATCCCAGTGCCCTGTCTTGGCCTACTAGAGAAAATCTTTCAAGTCATTTAGATTTGGACGACTAAAGTTCCATGGTTTCTGTTATAATTGTGCTCTCAACATCTTGTGATTTCAGGTGGTACAGAAATAAACTTTTAAAAAAATAGTTATGTAAATAACATATATTAAAATATATACCCAGTGCAGTAAATTCAGGATTTCATGGATAATATAAAGTTTCTCTTACAAACAAATATATTTTAGGAAAAAAACCCCAGTAGATGTAAGGACCTATATTATATACATCATAATAATATAAGTGGTTACATGGATAAGGCTCTGCTCTTGGGGCTTTCAAAATCTATCCCTCTCTTGGCTTATCTATCTCACTGACTGTATCTTCCTGTCTTCTTTAGTTCTTTTTTCTCCATTTTCTGAGATATTGATTTCCCCAGAGTTCTGTTCTGGGATCACCTTTCGCTTGCTACTCCTGACATGGTCTCATGAGCTTACACAGTTTAACCAACAGCCTATACAGAGATGACCACTGCATTCCTATGTGCAGCCCAGACTTAGGAGAATCAGTTTTATATTGTTACTCAGCTTCTCCACCTAATCATCCTGAGCACCCCTCAAACTCAACCTGTCCATGCTGCACTCATTATCTTCCCCATTGGCCCTGCTTCTCTTCCTGTGGTTCTTTTGAGAGATGGCACCACCTAGTCACCCCAACTAAAACCTTGGAATCATTGCTACCCCTGTATCTGATTCATCCATTCGTTTAACACATGTGTCTTCATCCATTCAGGCTGCTATAACAACATACCACCAACTGGATAGGTTATAAAAATCATAAGTTTATTTCTCATAGTTCTGGAATCTTGGAAGTTCAAGTCAAGATGCTAGGATGGTAACCTTCTGGTGAGGGCCCTCTTCCTGGTTCATAGCCAGCACTTTCTGACTATATTCTCACATGCTGGAAGGGGTGAAGGATCTCTTTGGAGCCTCTTTTCTAGGGCATTGATCCTATCATGAGGGCTCCAGCTTGATAACCTAAGTACCTCCCAAAGGCCTCATCTCCTAATACCATCATCTTTCTGGGTTAGGATTGCACCATATGAATTTGGGAGGACACAGACATTCCAATCATAGCAACATATTTACATGTGTTTTATTTCTGCCAGGCTCTGCACTGGTCACTGGGGTGCCCTGATGAGTGAATATCAGAATTCATATTGTAGTGGGAAGAGACAGACATGAATCAAATAATCACAGAAATGAATGTATTCAGGGCAGGGCAAAAGTAAGTTTACATCTGTGAGCACACAAAACAGTTTATTCTTGAATTATTATTTATTAATTATTATATTATTTTCCATATGAACAACAGTAAACCTACTTTTGCCCCACCCTGTATACCTGTGGTAAATACTCTGAAGGAAAGGAACATGTTTTTATGAGAGCTTACAGCAACACAAGCTACACAAGCTGACCTGGGTTGGAGGTTTGGGGGAAAGT